CTGCCATGCACCTTAGCATGCTGGACCATGAGAAAGAGTCCCAGCCTTCAGAGATAGGGGGAAGGTAGGTATAAATACACGCATATATGGACACACATGATGGGAGACCTTCAGGATCAGTGTTGAAAAGCCTGGTTGGCAAACTTTCTGGAAAGGACTAGCTAGCAGGGTCTCAGCGTGTCACACGGTGTGCTTTGTGCCTGCTCAGCTGTGCCCAGTGGAACAGAAGCAGCCCCACGCAGTTAGCACACGAGTCGGTGTGGCCAAGGTGTAGCCAAGTGTTACTCCCAGCAATGCGTGGCAAGCTGGTGTGTGCTGGGCTAACCACAGCTGGGGTCCGGGCATGGTTTTAAGGTGAGATGCGTGGGCATGGAATGTTGGATAAAGGACATTTTCTTACAAAGGATACGAGAAGGACTAATCATAAAAGATTAATTAAAGATGCTCCATTAAAGTTAGGAACTTGTCTTCATCAAAAGACATCATTAATGGGGAGAAAAGGCAAGGCAAGCGGGGAAGAGGAGATGCTCACAGAGGACTCAGATGCAGATGAGCCTGGGAGAGGGAGGTGACCTCAGGGAAAACGGGGCTACACTTGTACACACATTAGGCACTTGCATGCACTTCCGTGGGAGGGTCATCACTTTGGAAAATTCTGCAGCAGGGCCTGTGAAAGGGAAGCGCGGCCAGGGGTTCCTCCTTCTTGGTACATATCTAACAAGATGCGTATATGTGCCACGATGGACAGGAACAGGAGTGTTTATAACAGAGAGTGGGAGCAGTCCAAATGTCAACAGTAGAATGGATTTTGTACATGGGAACATGCAGCAGTGAAAATTGGCTACTCTTAACATGTTACAGAATTGAATGAATTTTTCAAATGTCATGTTGAGTTTAAGCAGCCAGACAGAAAAGATGATTCCCTTTATACAAAATTCAGAAATAGACAAAATTTACCCCAGTGTTAGCAGTCAGGTACTTAGGTGCAGGGAGGAGGTGAAGGACAGTGATTGGGGGGCTCCTAGAGGGCCTCAACTGGGTCAGTTTGTGATAATATCTCACACTTTTTAGATGAGCGTGTGCACATATACATTCTGTTTCAATATTTATTAAGAAGCTTAACTGGTATGACCCCAGTTTGTTAAAGCAAATGTATGCGACAGTGTAATCGATGATAGAATAGATGTTCATAGAAATGCCTCAAGGAAGATAAAGAACAGATGTGCTCATACATCTGGAAAGATGTGGCTGGGTTCAGACCCATCTCATCGTCAAGGCTGGCTGCTCTCTGAGCTCAGCGCTCCATCAACTCAGATCTTCACGGTGGATCTGCAGCCCACGGTTCTCCACGTGATCAGGGTGGCTGACACAGCTCCAGTCTCTGCATGTTCTCTTTTATTATTATTGTTAAAATATTTATTATTTGAGAGAGAGAGAGAGAGAGAGAGAGAGAGAGAATGGGTACATGAGCTGGTGGGAGGGCAGAGGGAGAGGGAGAGAGAGAATCTTAAGCAGAATCTTAATCTCTGCTGAGTGCAGAGCCCGACCTAGGGCTCAATCCCAGGACCCTGAGATCATGACCTGAGCCTAAATCAAGAGTCAGATGCCTAACCAACTGAGCCACCCAGGTGCACTTCTGGACATTCTCTTTGATTCACAGGCAGCTGCAAAGAAAAGTGGCGGGCCTGGCTTTTGTGCCAGCATTGGGTCTCCTCTCTACCTCTGAGCCTGTCAGTCCCTGTGGCCAAGGGGATGGCCCATCAAGAACTGTCCTGAAGGAAGGGGATTATGGGTTGAGAACAGGGACACGTGGTTCCCAGAGGATCTTCAAGGCTCCGTTTGAACAAGGGAGCCATAGGTGTTTAGCAGCAAACACAGTGATGCTACTACAGAGGTGGGAGCATTTTATTTTATTTAAGATTTTATTTATTTATTTATTTGAGAGAGAGGAGCAGAGGGAGAGGGACAAGCACACTCTGTGCTGAGCATGGAGCCTGATATGGGGTTTGATCCCAGGACCCTGAGATCATGACCTGAGCTGAAATCAAGGGTCGGATGCTTAACCAACTGAGCCACCCAGGCGCCCCAGATGCAAGAGCATTTTAAAAGGCAGAAAGTACCATATAGGATATATTTGTTCATCCATTCACATGCTTCATCATACATGGATTCACTTAATAAAAATTTGGCTGCCATGTGGCTGGCCCAGTGAGGGGCTGGCCCCGAGGAAGTCATGTGCCAGGTGCTACTGGAGCTCTGAGTGACCAGCCCCACCTTGGGTGTTCAAGCCTCCTGATGAAGTACCGTGGAAGAGATGCTTGAGCGATGAGCAGGAGGTAGCCAGGTAAAGCTTTAAAACATTAAGGGAAGAAGCAAGGAGAAAATCTTTCTTATATAGAAGAAGCACTAAATGTAAAAGAAAAAGTTTACAAGTTTGGAGATCATAGAAATTTTAAACTTCTGGTCTTTGAGACAAAAAGGCAGACCACAGATTAGGAAAATATAATTGTAATATGTAAGTTGTGTCTAGAATACAGAACCTTAAAACTCACTGGAAACACAAACAACCTGATTTAAAAAAAAGGGCAAAAAATTTGAACGGACACTTCACCAAAGAAGAGAAGCAGTGGCGGATGGGTACATGGAAAGATGTTCAACGTCATTAATTGGTAGGGACATGCAGTGAAAACTGTTTAATAGAATGGCTACTATTTTTTTTTAAAGAATTTTTAAAGAGATCTTTTTATTTATTTTATTTTTATTTTTTTAAAGATTGTATTTATTTATTCATGAGAGACACAGAGAGAGGCAGAGACACAGGCAGAGGGAGAAGCAGGCTCCCTGCAGGGAGCCCCGAGTGGGACTTGATCCCATGACCCTGGGATCCTGCCCTGAGCCAAAGGCAGATGCTCAACCACTGAGCCACCCACCAGTCCCTTAAGGGATCTTTTAAAAAGATCTCTTTAAGATCACTTTAAAATCTTTAAAACAGATTTTATTTGAAATTTTTTTTGTAAGGGAGTCTTTATTATTTTTTCTCCAAATTTTAAAATTCCAGTTAATTAACATATGGTGCAATATTGGTTTTAGGAGTAGAATTTCGTGTTTCATCCCTTACATACAATACCTTATAGTGCTCATCATGACAAATGCCCTTCTTCGTGCTCGACACCCATCTAGCCCGCCCCTCCAACCCTCAATTTGTTCTCTATTATTATGAGTCTGTCTCTTTTTAAAATGATTTTATTTATTAGAGAGAGAGAGAGGCAGAGCACAAGCAGGGGGAGGGACAGGCAGAGGGAAGGGAGAAGCAGACTTCCCGCTGAGCAGGAAGCCCAACGTGGGGTTCTATCCCAGGACCCTGAGATCTTGACCTGAGCTGAAGGCAGACACTTCACCGACTGAGCCCCCAAGGCACTCCTGTTAAGCATCTCTAATGATTTGCTTCCCTTTCTCTGTTTTTTTCTCCTTCCCATGTATTCATCTATTTGGTTTCCTAAATTCCACATGTAAATGAAATCACATGGTAGTTGTCTAAAGATTTTATTTTATTTTTTAAAGTAATCTTTATACACAGCATGGGGCTTGAACTTGCAACCCTGAGATCAAGAGTTGCGTGCTCCACTGGCTGAGCCAGCCTCGAAGCCCCAGACTGGCTCATGATGTTTAAACACGGCCAATACTAAGCATCAGGGAGGGTGTGTTGTGGAGCATTTGGGATTCTCATACACTGTTAGTTGGAATGTGAAACCATATGCTCACTTTGTAGAAGGTCTGGCAGTTTTGTAGGAGGCTAAACACGCAACTGCACAGTGCCCCAGTAAGTCCCCTCCTAGGTGTTTAACTGGGGGGAATCAAAGTGCATAGCCATAAAAACCTTGTACGAGAATATTTATAACAAGCTTTATTCATAATAGCCCCAAAGTAGCAACAATCCAGATGTTCAGCAACCAGGTCATGACCCGACAAACTGCTACGTCCGAACCATGGGATACTACTCAGTAAGCAAAGGAAGTAACTGCTGGTTCACATTTCAGTCTGCACAGATCACAAAGACAGTAGTAGGCCAAGTGAAAACCACACGTGGGTCCCCAAATGATTCCGTGTGCATGACGTTTTAGGCCAGGCCTCAGTGTGCTCCCTGGTGAGGGGCCGGGCAGCTCCCTGGGCTCTTGAGGTTCAGAGCGTGGAGATGGCCTGCCCTGGGCCCAGGGTGGGTTTGGGGGTGATCAGAGTGCTCTGTGGCTTCACTGGGGGGGGTAGGGAACAGCTGTGTACCCTTGTCCAGTGTCACGGAGCTGTTTACTTAAAAGAGGTATATTTTATGTGTGACGTGTCAATAATGTTGATTTATAAAAAGTAGAAACAAAAATAAAAAAGCATCCAAAACACCAAGCAGCGTGGCCCTGGAGTCTGGGCTCTTCAAGACCACCTGGCCCTGCCTGCCTTTCTGGATTTGAGTTCACTTTATGTCCTGGGGCTGCAGCTGCCAGGTGCCCAGCAGTGTTCAGAGAGAGGAGAACATTTGCATAAGTGACTATATGTATGTGGGTGCATGTATATTGTGTATGTGCGTGTGCATACACGTATGCGCACATACCTCTGTATATGTTGTGTGTATGTGCAAACACACGTATGTTCTGTTGTCATAAGAGCATGCAGACTTCTGAATTCTTGAGGCACGTGAGGCATTTAGAGTGAGGGCTGGTCTCAGCCCTGCTCTGGGAGAGCATGAGGTACCAGCCTGCCGGGGGGCTCCATTCTGACTCCCACTGGATGGCCCCGAGGCAGGTGTGGCTGGCTCAGCGAAGGCCACGTGTGTCTGAGCACGAGCCCCTGTTTGGTGCCCCAGAGGCCAGCTAGCTGACTTTCTTGATCTCTGTTTCTCTTTCCACAACTCATTGAGGCTCCCCCGTGTCCAGTTTCAGAATGCCATTCCAGACTTGGGGAATCAGCATTGACCATATACACTTTGTGTTTTTGTTCTTTTTCTCCCCCAGGGTTACCTTCCTGCCAATGTGGACCGAAGACCAGCCACTCTCCAGAGAAAACAGAAAGAATATTTTGCTTTTATTGAACACTATTATGACTCTCGGAATGATGACGTTCACCAGGACACCTACAGACAGGTGGGCTCTCTTCCTTGTTTCATGTTATGTGAAGAACTTTAACTTGGTGATGATAGGTAGGAGGAAGTGTTTTCTCTAGCATGTCCCTAATTGGGTCACACATTAGTGTTTTCTAATAAAAAATGAGAATAAAAAATGGTGTGCTTCTAATGGTAGTAGTTTGCTTATCTCTGGTTCTTTCTACAAGAGTGAAAGGGTGTTTTTAATTGGAGTTGCAAAACGGATGCCTGTGATCCTTTGCCAGCACCCTGAGACTTGGCTGAGGAGCGGGGGGTGCCTCTTGTCTCAGTGAACTGCTGTCTGGCCTGCAGGCTCAGGAGCAGGCACTTGGCTAGGTCGATCCGAGGAGAGTCCCTGTGGCCTTTGTGGGCACTGGACCCCCTGCAGCCCTGGGGGACGGGGTTTAGATGGAAGAGAGCTGTGCTGGTTTGTTGGACTCGGGGGCATGCAGTTTGGTCCATAGCAACATGTGTGGCCACTTTATTGTTTCTGCTGTTTAGTTTAATACAAAATGGGTATAATTATGGCTTCTTGAATAGTCCATTGACAGACGGTGTGTATAATGGGGAAAGTACTTAAAATTGATTTACAGTTCACAGTACATTCAGAATTTTCTGTTAGAATAGCTCTTTGAGGGCTTTGTGATTCTGTCTTTGTTATATGTGAGAATTCAGAATGGTTGGTGATGCACACATTCATTCATTGATTTATTGTGCTGCATTTAAACAGAAAGGTAGTTCTCAGCTGGTAGCCCTGCCTTCTGTTTCTGAAATCAACCTCTGACTTTCCTGAGACATGTCAGTACCAAATACTTCCTTTTGGAAATCCCTCTTCTGGGTGAAGGAGCCTTGCTGAATTTTTCTGACTCAGATGTGGGCTAGCCACGTCTCTGTCATTCTGGTATAGATCTGTTAGAGAGGGCTGAAGACAGGCCTTCCCTCTGATTGATAACCAGAGGTCCTTTAAAGTTCATGGATTCTGGGAGAATGTCTTCTTCGTGGATGGGGTGCGGGAGCTGGGGAGGAGGACTGTCCTTCTTCAGAGTGAGGCCCAGGAAAGGGCAGGAACCCGCCTCTGTTGCCTCCTGCGGCGGGGCCCCTCTGCCTCTGGCTCATCCTCAGCCTCACCTCGGTGGCTCCTAGGGCACGAGAAACTGATTTGAGAGGGATTGCACTTGGATTTGGGTGGGGAAATATCAGCTTACCTGATTTATTTTTCCACCTCACTAATTTTAGGGAATGGGCCAATTTGGTATTAGTTTGACTGTGTTTCTCATGAATTTTCATTCAATGAAAAGACTTCCAGAGGATGACACTAGCATCTATCTATAAGATTTACCAAACTGTATTCTATTATGAATTTCATAAGGGAAAGTTAATTAAAAAGGGGTTACATGCATCTTTATTCAGTTACTATGATAGGTAATAAAAAGTCTCCATATTATTACGAATTCCCAGAATGTTTCTACATTAACAGAGCTGAGACAAACGTAGCCCACAGCAGTTCTGTTGGCCCGCTTGCTTTGCTGCCAGCAGACCCGCCTCCTGGAGGTGCACCCCGTGCTGTCTAGCTGCCACACTTTCAGACACGCTGCCCTGTCCAGGCAGAGTCTGGTCTGGGGTGGGGCTCGGGCACCCTGGTGTCTCCCTGCTGCCGACCCTGGGCGGCTGCCCCGCCGTCACACACCGCCAGGAGGCCGCAGGAGTGCGGGCCTGCGCTCATGCCCTCGTGTCCTCTGGCATCTGCTTAAGTGTCTGGTGGAAGACGTCATGCCCAGAGCACACAGAGTTGGTCTGATGAAAGATTCATCCAGTGTGTCCTCCCTCCTCTGGGAGTTGTGGTCTCCTCTGCATGCTAGTCCTATACTTGGGGAGCAGGCGGCCTGGAGGGGCACACACAACTGTCTGGGTCAGCCTTGTGCAGCACCCCCTCTCAGGTTGGACCTCCTCCTCCCGTTGGCACAGACGATGGCGGGTATTAGTTATGGTGCCTGTTGTCCCATCCACCCAGCAGACACACGACAGGCAGCTCTTCTGAAAATGGGGACAGATGTGTGCCTGCCAGAGTGTGATGGCAGGGGAGCAGTGTTCTGGGGACAGCCTGGCGCAGGAGGTGAGATCAGGCTGGGGGCCTCTGGCCCCCAGTGTGGACTGTACGCCCCTCCCTCCCAGCACTGCTGCGCGCAGGCCTCCTTCACACACTGGGCCGCGGGCACATCTCCCTCAGTTCCTCCCTGTGTTGCTCGCAGGGCTTGGGCTGATTATTTCCCATGCTGCTCTCCTCCGGCTCCTTCCCTCTCATTCTCCTTCCCACTATCCTTCTCTGCTGCCCATAGTCCGTGCTCCCCGAGTGCCAAGTCCACCGGCCCCCGGCTCCCTCCTTGTTCTCTCACCAGGCTGGGTGCCGCTCATCCTAGTTTCTGGGTTGTCGCCTGATGGAAGAGCCCCAGGCAGGAGCCTGTTAGTGGGGAAGCAGCCCCAACCCCTTGGAATGGTGCGGTTGGCGGGGCTTCTCAGGCTGTGTATCCTCCTGTGTGCTCTTCACCAGTTAACCCTTGGAGGGAGGTGGCAGGCACCTTCTAGACAAGGACGCTGGCCCCAGGGCCTTAGTGATGTCACCAAGGCTGTAGTGCTGGTGAGGCAGGGGAAGGACATTGTCCTGGGCTTGTGGACAGTAGGATCCTCGTGGTCATGTGCAAAGACGGGGGAACGAACCTGAATCGTAGACTCCCACTTGGCATTAAAATGTGCACGTCTTCCTTCAGCCTTCTTGGGCCTTTTCCTGGGTGATGGGGTGGCCAGTAGGGGTGTTTATGTGGGATGTTGGGAGCCAGCCTATGATGCCAGCTCAAGCCCTGAACGCTCTTGCTTGGCCGCGGCTTGAACCTTCAGGGTGTGCGTTCGTCTGCAGCATGGGGACTTCATGATGACTCTCACATCAGGCGGTGGCCAAGCTGGGCTCAGCCGACACCAGCAGAGGTGTTTAAGTGCTTCCTTTGAGAAGCGCCCTGGATCCTCATGGGCTCTGTGAAGCGGAGAAGAAAGTGGCCTGGCACCCAGAAGAAGCTGTCACAGCCGAGGACTTGTACACTATCGATGCACCCGAATTGCTTCCCCGTGTCGGAGGCTGGAAATCAATGTTTACTAATTGCTATGGATTATGTTGCTAAATAGCTGAGGGCTGCTCTCTTCCTCATCGCTCGGCAGCAGCTGCTAGGTTGGGAGGTGCCAGGCAAGCCTCCACACTGGGACTGGGGGAGGCCCACTCAGGTGGAACCTGCTGCCTCCTCTGGAGCCAAACTCAGCGACATAAGGAATTTGTGTTTTCAGCCAGAGTGGGAGCAGGTTGAAGTCCAGAGCGGATTCATCGCTGTTACTAAGTATTGCTGTTTTAATCACATGCTTATGATGACATTTGCCATCTTGTAAAATAATACATCTTTCTCCTGCATCTCCAGATCCACATCGACATCCCTCGAATGAGTCCAGAAGCATTGATACTTCAGCCCAAAGTGACAGAGGTAAGAGCTGGGATCTGGAAATTCCTGTTGAGGTTGTTTCCCTCTGTTGGGGTGGTGGGTTTCCACGGGACTAGTGAGATGGTTGGTGCAGTCGGGGTGCTTTACCCACAGGAGGTTTGGGGGTAGCTTATTCTTAAAATATTTTGTGTGTCATATGGATGCATATAGAAGGTGTGTGTCCTTAGAGCGTATGCTTGTGTCCACCCCCACCTGAGGACTGAGAACTCCACTCACATTGGACCCATGGTGCTGGGGCTGCTCACGGTTCTTACCCTGTTCTCGGAGGGCCCCCAGGACCTGACCAGCCTCCTGGCTCTGTGATTCCTCATGCCCTCGGCATGTGTTGTGTGGTGTTGTGGCAAGTTCAGATCAAGGCAGCAGTTGGGCCACATCCTTGCCTGGTACCCTCATCCCTCTGCAGCTTGTGTTTTTCCTCCACTTTATTTTTTAAGCTTCACCTAATCTGTGTGTCTGGTTGTCTAATATCCCCTCGTTTAAATATGGCACATTTTCTGCAGCCTTTCTCCTGTTGTTGGCATTTGGATCGTGTCTCACATTTTGCAATAAGGACCTTCAGGGACGTTCACGCAGGTGCCCACAGACAAGGGTTTCTCCTGGGCACTGCCGAAGGAGTGAAGTGGTTGTGTGGTGGGGTGTGAGCCTGTTGAGCCTACAAGATGGTGTCAGCATGCTCCCACGCGGGCTTTGCCTGTGGAGTGTTGGAGTCCTGTGCTCCGTGTCCCCGCCAGTTCCTGTGGTCCCTGGACTTTCCACTTCTTGTCCCTCTGGTGGGTTTTCCTGTCATGGCCATCTATGGTTACTGGTGGCAATGAGCATCTTTACCTTTATTTATGGGCTCCTGTGTTCCCTCTTCAGGGACATGCTTGTTTCCATCTTTTGCCCATTTTTCTTTTGGTTTGTTGATCTAATTTTTTATTGGCTGCCAATCTTCATGTGTTAGGGTTTCTAAATCTTTGTCAGTTTGCCTGTCACACGTGTCCTCTTCCACGCTGTGGCTGCTGCTGACTCCCTGCTTGGTGGCTGTTGATACCAGAAGGTCTTCGTTTCAGCGTGGTTGAACTTCTCCTGTCTCTTAAGAACTCTCCTACACATACTTCACGCAGCTCTTCTCCCGTATTCTCTTCTGAAAGTTTTAACCTTTGCCCTCCACCCTGGTGTGTGTCATCCATCTGTCCCTGCCAGCTGCTCACCATGTGAGGGAGGAATCTGGTGAACTTGCCCGTGCAGTGACCTGCTGGCCCGGCCTCATGTCTGCCTCGGCGTCCCTTCTGGCGTTTGTCCTTCTCATGCTCACACACGTTTCCAGGTTCTCTGTCTTGTCCCACTGTTCAGGGTGTCTTCCCTCAACACCACAACTGCCAGTGAATTTGGCTGCACCCTGAGTGTCCCTGTGCGGGCGGGGGCCTCAGGCCCGTGTGCTCCCACCTGGTCCTCATGGGCAGATGACCCTGTATTTGTGTTCACCGTCCGCTGGCTTTGTGCTGGGAGCTGCACCGCATCTGGAGACCAGTTTGGGAGGATGGACATCTTCATGAAACCCAGTCTCCGTTGTTGCGAACACATGGGTCCTCCATATCCTAGGCCGTTTGTCGTGCCTTTCAGTGTAGTTTTAAAATGTGCTCCATAAAAAAAAATATGTCCCTTATTAGATTTATTCTTAGTTATCATATTTTGTTGTTATTGTAAGCAATATCTCTTTAAAATTGAATTTTTTTTTTTTTTACTGTTTGAATACTTGTTTTGCATCTTGAGTGCTCCTGTAAATGCACTTTTAAACTTCGCTATCTCTTGTACTAGTAAGTTTGTTGAACAAATTTCCTGGATTGTGAAAGCAAAAGCACTTCTAGATTGTAGAACACAAAAGGAAAAAATTAGTTTTCCACAGAAGTAGTCATTTTGAGACACTTCTGTTTGTCTTTTTCAATAGTTGTATTTACTGTATCTGGAAAACAAGAGATAATATATTGTTACCTCTTTTTCACTTTTTTTTAAAAATGGAAGATAGAGTCAGCCACAGACCTTTGTTTTATTTCTTTATATTTCTTTATATTTTTCCTGCCACTTGACACATCTTTTGTAGAGCCGAGCTCGCAGGCTCTCAGTTTCAGAGCAGGGATGCAGTCCCTGCCAGTGGGTATTGATTGGTCTGCTTGTGTGTGATGCCCTGGGATCCTGGTCCCATTGGTTTGAGGCGCCTCTTCCCTGCTGGTCTCTCTGCTGAACAAATTCTCACTCCGCTCTCCTGTGCTTCCCTGGGAGCTGCAGACCCTGCCCAGGCCCCCGCTTAGCAGGGCAGCATGTGCTGAGGGGCTGCTGGGCTCCCAGGAAGGACGTGAGGCTCGTGTGGGCTGCTGTGTGACTGAGAGCACCATTTGGGCACAGCTCTGTGTGTGTGGGGTGAGAAGTGACAAGCAGGAGACTCTAGGAAATGTATGGTCTTATGATTGTCAGTAGGTAAACCAGGTTCTAGCTCCTGGCACCGTGGAGGCTCGGCTCAGGGCTCTCTGCAACAGGCAGTACGTGGCCTGACCGGGTGGAAGTTTGTCCCTGTCCCAGGCATGAGCTCGCTGGCAGTGAGGCGGTCACTCCTCTCTTCTCGGCTTCCCCATAGTGGCCCCAGTGGACCTGCTCCAGGTCTCGGCATCACATTTGTATTTGACCAGCAGGAAGGAGAAGACACACACAGAAGGATGTGCCCGTCCGTCTCCAGCTGTTTTGTAGAAGTTGCTCGCAGCACTTCGCATATCCCGCAGTTCAGAACTTTGTCGAGTGAAGTGCGAAAATGTAATTCTGATTGTAGTTGGTCTGTGTGCATCCCTGAAGCCTGGGGCTTCTGATGACTGCTTGGGAGGAAGGGTTTTGGCATGTCCCCGCATCTGTCCACATGTTCCTTTATTCATTCAGCAGGTATTGCCCGGTTCTGCTCTATCTGCTCGTCCCCTTGCTCCCTGTCTCTCCCTCCTGGGGCTTTGTTGAGGTCTAGTGGATTACAATAAAGTTCACCCATTCTCAGCATACAGTTAGGTTAGTTTGATACCTGTGTGTAGGAATGTGACAACCACTTGAATTGTGATGTAGAACATTCCATTACCCTGGGAAGTTCCCTTGCTGTCAGCCTCCCATCCCTACCCTGTGCCCTGTTAACTACCGATCCACTTTCTGTCTTTAGAGTTTTGCTTTTAAATATTTCATACTGATGGAATCACACGAATTTCAGACTTTTGGGGCTGGCTTCCCTTGGGGCTCAGACACCCGTTCACATTGTCACGTTGTTGCTAAGTAGGACTCTGCTATCTGGTGTATACCTCAGTGGGCTTACCCATTCGCCAGCTGATGAATCCTTGGGCTCTTTCCAAGTAAGTGTGGGTCATCACAAAACTGATTCATGTAGAGCTCTAATGAAGACACCTGTTTACCCCTCTCTGCTGAGTACCTAGGAGTAGGGAGGCTCTACACTAAGTGTATGTTTCTATACGTTATGAGAAACCGACAAACTGATTTCCAAAGCAGCTGTTCCAGTCCGCACTCCCGCCAGCAGGGCATGGGGGTTCTTGCTCCACATCCTTGTCAGTACTTGGTATTGCCAGTCTTCTTAATTTTAGCTATTTGTAGTGAGTTTGTGATGGTATCTTACAGAGTTGCAGTTTGCAGTCCCCTGATGACTAACGATGGTGAGCATCTTTACAGATGCTGATTTGCCATGTGTAGATCTTGTTTGATGAAGTGTGTGTTCCATTTTTGCTCACTCTTTAATTGCTTTTGGAACCTTTAGCTTGCTTGTTCCCTGGCTAGCTGAGCCTGAAAATTCTTTTTTTATGGAAGCCCAGCTAGATTTGGAGGCCTCAGGACTTGTTTAACTGCTGATAGGAAGATTTTGAAACGAGCAGGGTGGAGGGAGTAGTAGGGCCTGACGGCCAGTGCCCATCCACTCACAGCCAGAAAGCAGAGGCACAGCTAGAGACAGTGACCTTTGTCAGGAGGACACTGCCCCCGCCCCTCCCCAAGACCCAATGGGCCCCAGGAGTACAGCAGACCTTCTAGCTCCAGTGCCTCAGGCAGCGTGTGACACAGAGTGGCTGCCTGCCAGGACTTGTCAACTGAACAGCGCACAGGATTCCTCTTTCTCTTACCTGTGACTTCTGAGTGTCTGGTTCCCTTTGGGGCTTCGGGTCTTACCGGGAAGGTTGCCGTGTCAGAGGTGCAGTCCTCAACGATGCTCTCCCATTCCGTGTACCCTTTGCTTGTTTCTTGGCTCTTCCTCTTGGATTGTGTTTGACTTCTTGAGTGTAACGTGACTCACTCTACCTGTTTGCTCCCCGAGAGCGGGCTGGGGCCCTGTCTGTGTCCTGGGTAGGTGCCTAGAGCATCTCCTAGAACCTCATGGGATTTAGGAGAGTTTGTTGAAATTGGTAATTAATATTTTTATCCAACTTCGTTGTTTGAAAGTAAAATTCCTAACTTTTTGGCTCTTTGGCTTTTTATTGTTGTTTTAATCTCCTGTCCATTATTGAACAAACTCGATCTATTACATTTAAAAATACAAAATCTGACCTGTGGCCCTATGGTGGGTGCAGTGGGTTTATTAGAAAAACCATATTCAAATATCGCTGTTGGGGCTTTTCTGCTGAGAAAGTCATCATCTACCGAGTGACTTTGCCTCTGTGGTTATTACATTATCTGCCCTCTGGTTATCTGCTCCTTAGAGCAGTTTCACAAATTAGGGAAATAAGATGCTTTTTCCAATTAGCCATGCAGAAGTGATGTCTCATTACATTTAAACAGATACAGAGGATAATGAAACATGCAGGCTTTTTAAGCCACATTGTTTATGTGCAGTTTCTAGAATTAGTGTGATGGGTTTTCGATGGCCTTGAAGGATGGACATTTGCTAGGAGGCAGAGAGCGGCAGAGCACAGGGCACGCTCAGAGTGGGCCCTTCCCCGAGACTCTGCTCTTCCTTTAGACTGATTTTCTCACCA